GCGACAATAAATAGAGAAAGTTAGTCGTGCATTGTTCTCTCTCTCTCTCTCTCTCTCTCTCTCTCTCTCTCTCTCTCTTGATTTCCAGCACTCCGGAAGGACCTTGTCTTGGTTCATCCTCATTCATGATGTATTAGATTTTAAGATTTTATCTATGATTTTAATTTTTATTCCTCATATGATTTAAATCAATATACATATTCGACGAATAGTGTGACATATATGATTTTTTATTGATCTATAAAATATTTTTATTATTAAAAAATATTAAAAATACATTATATAGGTTTGCAACCATTCAAAAAGTATTTTTTTTTGTCTTACAAATATTATTTGAAGTAATTATTGACTTTTGTAAAGATCTGTTCAAAAGTTTAATTATCTCTTTAGTATGGCTTTGATATGAATCCCATTGATGTAGGTTAGATATTGATATGAATCCATTGTTGTGTGCTGGCAAGGTGGGAGCAGCTATGTTGGACAGTGGACAGTGTTGGGATGATAAAGAGGAATGATGGTTGATAGTGTCACAGTAAAAAGAGATGGTTGTGATATGATTCAAATGATATATAAGTATAGAGAGTAAATAAATGCCAAAGTACATGAAAAATATTACATACACTATCAGAAGAGACAATTGTCTTACAAAATACTCAAGTCTGTTCTTACAATTGTTACCTGGATTCTGGATCATGGCTGCCACAAAATGTGGATTCTCGAATGTATCTCTCTCTGCGTCAAAGATGGAGCAAACAACATTATAAGTGGAACTCTGTTAAAGAAACCCATGTTTACAATGTATAACGAAGCACATCAAAGACCAGAGATAGAGATCCATAACAAAACCTGCTTACCGAGGTCCTTGTGAAGATTGACAACGAAAGGTATCGGAAAGAAACAGATCATTGTGGAGGCCAGCCTAACCAAAAAAGTACAGACAGAAGCAGAGTGTGCTCCTGTCTTCCATTTCTGAAAATTTGATGAAACACTGTCTATAAAAAAAATTCAGACACAAACAGCAAATTACCAAAATTACAGCAAACTATCCAACATCAAGCAAGAACTACCTGAGATTAAACTCCCATGAAATAGTTAGAAACAAGTGATGGAGGGAGCACTGGCACAGTGATAAAGCTACAGACCGACTCCTGGGTTCCAGACAAAGCAAGTCAGTTCACTCACCAAGATACTCCAGTAGCAGTCCAAACCAAAGCACTGGACCAACTTCAGAATGCAGTTCGATAGTTTGCAGTCGCCCAGTTCGATAGACATGCTGAACCAACCATCTAGCCTTACAGACTCATCCAACCATCACCAACTCCACTACAAGACTGTTAAGATGTTACATATTTAGTGAAAAGTAAAGATCCAATATGGTTTCTAAGCAATTTGCATGTGTTAAAATATACTTCACAATAATTTTATCCCTGAAACTTTACCGAAATTTATCAAGCTTTTCAACTCCATTAACACAAAAAATAGGTCTTTTTTTTTTCTTTCAATTAGGTTGACAATCCTTGTTAATAAATTCCAACACCCAACCAACTAGGTCACAACCACCTTCCCCTTCATTTATGAGCCAATTGTATATGCTAGAACAATGCAGTCAAGCCCCTCTGGTACTAATCATAGTTAAGCAAGCAACTAGGTTAGCGACACAATAGTAACCAAGTCAAATCACTCACAACCAACTATGTCCACGGTAAAAGTTGTCCATTATCTGATGGAAACAGAAGAAAAAGTCTATGATGCACACTAATGATTGAAACTAAGCTAAGCATAACATCAACATGTCAACGTTCCACAGCCTACATAAAGCAGGCGAACCTAATAAAAATCACGCTCACATTTGGCAGTCTAAATTAAGCAGGTGGTACCGATCCCATGTACACTGAATAACTCAACATTCAAGAACCTAAATTAAGCAGATGATACTAATACCAGCTGCACTGACTGATCATTGAAGCCAGAGGTAAGGGAGGTTAGAACCAGATATTATGATTGTTAAATTAGGTACCAGTGGCAGCCCCACTTAGCATTGTGTTAACCTTCTTCAGTAGGCCCTCCATATCCCCAACTAAATTTTCCCTTGCATCATGCTTCATTCCATCAGATGTCCCTGTCTCTTTCAATGATGAAGTAGCAGTCAAAGTAGATATCATCCTTTCAAGACCCTCCCTTATGTAAGGAAGTGGAGGCACTGGATGAGGAGAGCATGCAATTGCCGGTAGACAGCAGAGACAGTAGCTAGCATATGGAGGCCTAAAATAACCAGTCTTATCTGAGCTATTAAAGGCTTTTTCTGCATCAGTGCTTTTGGCAAACACAATACGTGCACTATTGGTCTCTTTTAGCAGCTCTGTTTCTGATTCAATCACGACACCATATTTGCGGAAAGCGGAAGTTAGTTCATTTTGGGAGGGAAGAGGAACTCCATGGGCAAAAGTCAAGAGAAGAGCTCCAGGGTAACTTTGCCTGCATATGTCTTTCTCCAAACCATTCATAATGCCCGTGCCCAAATCAACGAGAGGTACACCAATATTTGCCGGTTTGCTCTTCTTCCTCTTCCGTCCAGATTTGCCTCCTTGTGACCTCTCTGAAAGATCATGGCCAGGTTTCAAAGCCTTTTGACCATCAGCAACTCCCTTGCCCTTCTTCATCTTGTTCCCTACTTCAGCTGGTTGCAAACAACTAACAGGCTCAGGGCACAGTACCACACTTTCTTCAGTAGCTCCATCTTTGTTCTTTATGTTTTTATGCACATATCTGCTCTCCACTGGAACGTTTATGACCTGAGGATCCAGCTTTGCTGGTGATACACTGGTAGCTTCATCCAATCTCATCTTCCTCTTCTTCCCAGCTTTGCCTTGTTCAGAATGACTTTTTGTATCAGCACCAAAACCTGTCTCTGCTTCTGAAATAGCAACACCTTTATTATTCCACCAATGATTCTCGCATTCTCCAACTCCAGAGCTGGTATTGATAGTCACCTTGTTTGAGGATTGGCCACTTCCATCGCAGCAGTCAGTACCGTGCTTCTGGAACGTTAAGAAGTCAGATCCACTAGAGTACATTGTGCTTCTATATTTAATGAAGAAGCCTTTAATCATTTTTGCTGACCGATTCCACTTTAAATGGAGCAGATTTTTTGCTGTGCAAAGAAACTCGAAAAGAATCTCTATCATAGATGTGTTCTCAACGCTGAAACCAGGACTACAATTATCC